AGATGCTGACAGGGAAAATGGTAGGATGCTATGAAACTCGAGATGGAGTCTATGTACTCTAACTTAGTCTGACAACTTGTTGATCTACTTGAAGGGGTAAAACCCATCGGATGTAAGTGGATCTTCAAGAGAAAAACATGAGCGGATAGTAAAGTGGAGACTTACAAAGCTAGCCTTGTGGCTAAGGGTTATACACGGAAAAAAGGAATTTACTATGCGGAAACTTGCTCGCCAGTAGCCAAATCCATCCAGATACTCTTGGTCATAGCAGTATATTTTGATTACGAGATATGGCAGATAGATGTCAAAACAACTTTTCTGAATGGCTATCTTAAGGAAACCATTTATATGGACCAACCAGAGGGTTTTGTGGTGAAAGTTCAAGAGTAAAAAGTCTGCAAGCTGCAGAGATCTATTTATGGATAAAAATAGGCTTCTAGATCATGGAACATCCAGTTTGATGAGACTATAAATTCTTATAGATTTGATCAAAACCAAGGCGAACAATGTGTCTATTGGGAATGGTGTCCTAGAAGCATGAGATGTAATAGGATATTTATTATTTATTTAATAAAGGAGTTTATTCATTATTTTATGTGCATATATTTATGAATAATTTATGAATATCAAATGAAAATTCCATGATTATTTATGTGACCTTAAACGTTGTATATAAGTGTTATATGTGAGAGGATAATGTTTAAGGATAATAATCAAAACGATGTTCGTAATGAATTTGATTAAAGCTGGGAATCTTTAATTAAAATATTATTAATACATGTCATTCCCATTTAGAATGGAACGGTGTTATCCGCACAGTTAATATGGTGAAATATTGAATAAGTGTATTACGCAAAATGATATGTAAAACAAGGACACATACAATATGAATTTTTGATAATTTTCGTTAAGTATAGAAATTCTAATTGAGTCTATTGATGGTCATATATAGAATGATCTTAATCCTAAGTTCTTACTATTTATGGATTTGTGTCTTTTGATTTAGTCGGTACGGATTCTGAGATCCTGAATCATATTTCTTGTATTTTGGAGACATGATGAAGTAGGTAGCTGAGAATGTTATTATTCGAGATGGAATCCATTCCTTCTTGAGAACAAAGTAGATAAATAATTCTCTTGAAGGTTGATTCGGTACTTGGACCAGTAGGAGCTTCGATTCATGAATTTGTTTTATGAATCACTGTCCATTGGAGAATCAATGGTACTCAAGGATAAATATGTAATTAGAAAGGTTAACGGATTTTACCTAGCTCTAATAATGAATTATTTATGGAGGATTGATTTATATGCAGTGACTACATCACATGGACACTTCACGGTTTAGAAGTAATTTATGTCTATAATTATGAGAGTGCAATTTCAAGTTTATAGTGGAGTAACTATTGAAATTAATATGATTAATTAATTAATTAAAGTGTTTAATTAATTATTAATTTTATTTGAGCTCGAAATTATAAGTCCATGAGTCGCCGTATCATCCATGTAATTCTACAAGACACTAAGGGCAAAATGAGAATTTTAGAATTATGAAATTTTAAAATAAAACACTCAAGAATAATTAATTGAGAATTAATTATTATTTAAATTTGAATTTTGGATCATTTATATAAAGGTGTTCACATAGTGTGAACACAAGGCACAGTGTGAACACACAATGTGAACATATCTAGAATTATGCATTTAAACTTATTTGATAAGTTGCTCAATTTAGAATTCAAATTAATTTGAGTTTGACTTAAATTTAGAATTTAAATTTGAGTCAAATTGGATTGCAGGATAAATGATGATTTTCTCTTCCTTCCCTATCTGGTATTGGCACCTACCATAAGGATAAGATTCCCTATCTTGGCCGGCCACAATGGATGGATAAGGATGGGAGATTTTGTTTCAAAGGCAAGACTCCTTCTAGGAGTCCAACTACTAATCTATAAAGAAAGAGAATGTAGAAAATTGTGAGGCATAATTTTTACTCGTATTTTTATATAGTGGCCTGTTTTCACAAGTGTTGTGAGGAAAAATTTTCTTCAAAAAATTTCACGTTGTGCATGCGTTGGTGTTCGTGAAAATTCTTGAGCGTTTTTTGTTAACCCGTTTTGTTTCAGGTGTACCTACACACACGTCTTTGTAGATTCAAGTAATTGACGAGGAAGGCTCGAGTTTTCTAAAGAAAGCATTGGAGTAATCTCGCGACTCTCCAGCACTCTCTCAGCTAGTCGGGAAAGAAGTGCTTTTTCGGGTTTACGAGGATTGCGAGGTCAAAGAACTCAAGTTATCATCCTAATCAGTCGCTAAGTATAATTCCTAATCCGGTTCTTGGTAAATAAATTAATATGATTAATTTATTCGTGCATAAATTAATATAATCTATAGAGTATCTCAAAGGTTTTATATAAATTTTTGTTATACACGAGCCGTTACCCCACGCTTCCGCATCCGAATTCGATTCGGAAACCAAAGGTGTCTACAAGTACATAAAGGATAAGAAAATGGTCTTTCTAGTTCTTTACGTAGATGATATTCTACTCATTGGGAATGATGTAGAATCCATGAGTAACGTAAAGAAGTGGTTAGCCAACCAATTTCAAATGAAAGATTTAGGAGAGGCAAGCAATGTTCTTGGGATCAAGATTATTCAAGATCACAACAAAAGCTGTTGGCGTTGTCTCAGGCATCATACATTGACAAGGTTCTAGATGTAGAACTCCAAGAAGGGAAATTTGCCTACTAGGTATCGTATTCATCTTTCTAAGGAGCAATGTCTTAAAACTCCACAAGAGGAAGAGGACATGAGAAAATACCCATATGCATATACAGTTAGGAGCCTCATGTATGTCATAATGTGTACTAGGCCATATATTTGTTTTGGAGTGGGAGTGGTCAGTTGCTATCAATCCAACCCAGGATTAGATCATTGGGTTGTGGTGAAATGCATTATCAAGTATCTGTCTCTCATCAGATACACAGATTCTGACTTCAAGTCAGATAGGGATAGTCGATGGTCGCATCCGGATTTGTGTTCACTCTTAACGGAGGAGCCGTGGTATGGAGGAGTGTTAAACAAAAGTGTGTTGCTGACTTTACCATGGAAGCTGAGTATGTTGTAGCTTATGAAGCCACAAAGGAAGCTACCTGACTCCGTAAGTTCTTAACTGATATGGAAATCGTTCCAAGAATGAATCAATCGATTAAACTGTACTGTGACAACAGTTGAGCAGTGGCTAATTCAAAAGAACCAAGAAGTCATAAGAGTGCAAAGCATATAGAGAGAAAAAATCACCTGATTAAAAACATAGTCGATAGACGCAATATAGCAGTTATGAAGATCTCATTAGAGAACAACCTCGCAGACCCGTTCACAAAGACATTGTCATTAAACGTCTTTGACAGAGACCTAAAAGGATTTGAGATTAAGAACATGTCACACCTGTTTTAGGACAAGTGAGAGATTGGTAGGAATATTGTCCTTAAAGCATGAGATATAATAAGGATATTTATTATTTAATTAATAAAATAGTTTATTCATTATTTATGTGCATGTATTATTACATACTTTATAAATATAATTGAAAATTATGCGATTATTTATGTGACCTTAAATATTGTATATAAGTATTATATACAAGAGGATAATATTTAAGGATAATAATCGAAATAATGTTCGTAATGAATTTAATTAAAGTTATAGAATCTTTAATTAAAACATTACTAATACACGTCATTCTCATTAAGAATGGAATTGTGTTATCCGCATCATTAATATAGATGGATATTGAATCAGTGCATTATGCATAATAAGATTATGTAGAACTAGGATACATACACAATTTGATTTTTTGATAATTTCCGTTAACTATAGAAATCAAATTTGAGTCTACTGATGGTCATATATGGAATGATCTTAATCATGAATTGTTAGTAGACTCCTATTTATAGATTTATGTTTTTTTATTTACTCGGTATGGATCTCGAGATCCTAAATCATGTTCCTTGTATCTTGAAAACATGATGAAATAGATGGCAGAGAATGCTAATATACGATATGGAATCCATTCCTTATTCTTTGAAAAAGTAGATAAATAATTTCCTTGAGGGTTGATTCGGTACTTGAATAAGTAACGAGCTTGTATTCATGAATATGTTTTATGAATATACTATTCATTAGAGGAAACAATAGTACTCAAGCATAATAATGTAATTGGAGAGGTTAAAGGATTTTATCTAGCTCTAATTATGAATTATTTATGGAGGATTGATCTATATGTAATGACTATATTGAATGGACACTTGAAGTTCATAGAAGTAAATTATGTTTATAATTATGTTTACATAATGTTAGGATGTCTCCCTTCAAAGGATACAAGTCAAGCATACGAGTTCATTATTCATCTCAGGATTAAGATGACTATATATAATTCGTCAAAAGTGAATTGTTATATTGAAATAGAATTATTAATCAAAACAATTCAATTTTCGTCTGATGCAATATAGATTTCACCACTAAAAATTATATCAATATCTCTAGCCACAGAGTCCCACCTCTGACGACCAAGACACATCATCTCCATTTGGAAGTAGATAACGTAACAATCTTAACATAAATAAAGCACCTAACTTTATTCTCTCGATTGCAGATCCTATTCTTTACACTATCATCTTTACATTCCTGTCTTCGGCATGTTCTTCCCATTACATGCAAGATCTAAAGCCTTAAAACGACAGTCTCAGAATTCTAATTTACTTATCATCTATTTAACTAATATGAATATAAATATGACATTATATAGATATATGAAATAAATAAATATTTATTAAGAGTGAAAATGTCTCAAAAATATCGTTACGATTGCTTCTTCTTCTTCTTGGGCCCAATGATCTGCCCATTAAGCTCATAACTTGTGGCCTAGCCCAAACTCCCAAGAAGCCTAGTTGACTGACGCCGTGGAAATGACGAGAGTTTTACGCTCGCCTGTGCTCTCTAAAACCCCCCAACTCCAAAACCCTAACGAAGGGCCCTTCTTCCTTTCTCCACATAAAAAGAAGAAGAAAAAGACTTCCTTTATATCATTTTCGCCGCCATTAAAACCCTAGGAAAAGCTCACAAGCTCACTCAGACTCAGGCTCAAGCTCAGCCATGTCGGAGGCAGAAGTTCGCTCCGAAAAGAAGAAGAAAAAGCACAAAAGTAAAGATGAAAAGCCACTCGGCGAGTTGGAGTCCGAGCCGACTCAGAAGGAATCGTCCGAGTTCATGATCAAGCCTCAGAGCTTCACTCCGGCCATCGACACTTCTCAGTGGCCGATTCTCCTCAAAAACTATGACCGCCTCAATGTACGAACCGGACACTACACTCCTCTCCCGTCCGGTTACTCCCCTCTCAAGCGCCCCCTCGAGGTGTACATCAGGTACGGCATTATCAATCTCGATAAGCCCTCGAATCCCTCTTCTCACGAGGTTGTCGCTTGGATTAAGCGCATTCTCCGAGTTGAAAAGACCGGCCACAGCGGGACTTTGGATCCCAAAGTCACCGGAAATCTCATTGTGTGCATTGATAGAGCCACAAGGCTCGTCAAATCCCAGCAAGGCGCCGGGAAAGAGTACGTCTGCATCGCTCGCTTGCATTCTGCGGTCCCCGACGTCGCGAAAGTGGCTCGGGCGCTGGAGACGCTCTCCGGAGCCGTCTTTCAGAGGCCTCCTCTGATTTCTGCCGTTAAAAGGCAGCTCAGGATTAGGACTATTTATGAAAGCAAGCTTCTTGAGTACGATGCCGATAAGCATTTGGTTGTTTTCTGGATTTCTTGCGAGGCCGGGACTTATGTAAGGACGCTTTGTGTTCATTTGGGTCTTATTCTTGGTGTGGGTGGTCATATGCAAGAGCTTAGGAGGGTTAGGTCTGGGATTTTGGGTGAAAAAGATAACATGGTTACTATGCATGATGTATTGGATGCTATGTATATTCATGATAGCCATAAAGATGAGAGTTATTTGAGGAGGGTTATAATGCCTCTTGAAGTGGTTTTGACGAGCTACAAGAGGTTGGTTGTCAAGGACTCTGCTGTTAATGCCATTTGCTATGGTGCTAAGTTGATGATTCCGGGGTTGCTGAGGTTCGAGAATGATATCGAAGTTGGGGAGGAGGTTGTGCTTATGACTACCAAGGGGGAGGCAATTGCGTTGGGAATTGCTGAGATGACCACTGCTGTTATGGCCACTTGCGATCATGGGGTGGTGGCGAAGATCAAGAGGGTTGTCATGGATCGGGACACTTATCCGAGGAAGTGGGGTTTGGGTCCTAGGGCGTCGATGAAGAAGAAATTGATCGCGGATGGGAAATTGGATAAGCACGGCAAGCCTACTGGCAACACTCCTCAAGAGTGGCTTAGGAATTCGGTTTTGCCTGCCGGTGGGGATTCTATGGTTGCAAGTCTTGCGGCTGCTGCAGCTGAACCTGCTGTTGTGGAAAATAAAGATGCTGCTGAAGTGGGGAAGGAGAAGAAAAAGAGTAAAGCTACTGATGAAGAGGGCGGTGATGGACGCAAGCGCAAATCAGATGCAATTGAGGATGAGGCTGAGGATACCACCAAAGAGAGTAAGAAGAAGAAGAGGAAGAAGGATGAAGAAAACGGGCATGTTGATGATACTTTGGATGGGGACAAGGCCGAGAAGTCTGAGAAGAAGAAGAAGAAGAAGAAGAAGGAACACAAAGATAAAGAAGAAGCAGCTTCCCCCGAAACTGAAAAGTCGGAGAAAAAGAAGAAGAAGAAGGAACACAAAGATAAAGAAGAAGCAGCTTCCCCTGAAACTGAAAAGTCGGAGAAAAAGAAGAATAAAAAGAAGGACAAAGAAGCTGAGGATTGCAGTGCTAAATCTTCCAAAGGTGCCGCAGACAGCGAGGTTGATAAGAGTGAGAAGAAAAACAAAAAGAAAAATAAGAATAAAGAGGAAGAAGATTAGTTCTAGATCATCAAAGGATTAGTATATTTTGGTTTTTAATTTATGTCAAATCTTTTTTTGTTCAATTCTATGTCTTTTCCTCTGTGATGGATTTTTAAAGTTTTTGTTGTTACGTCTTTGCTTTTCTTAAAGAGCTAGCGCTCTTTTTTTTTTTTCCAGTGTTGAAGGCTGATCGCACCTTTCCCAAAAGTTCGCTTCATTCTGTTAACTTCTTAATATCGTTCACCTTCTGTTGAAAACGGATTAACAGAAAATGTATTATGTATGTTGAGTTCTTTTCAGAGGAGCAAGTTGAGACATAAAAATAAAAGCGAGAGGAAAAACATTTTAATGATGGGCATAGGAAAGTCACAATGGCAAGAGTGAAAAACAATAACAAAACATAATAGAGTACAAAATAAAAATCAAAAGAAGCTTGCAACTTTGCAAGTAATCAAATTAGGTCCTTTTATTTTCAGAATTTCACGGTCTATGATACTATATGGAATTCATATTCAGATTGGCTGCAGACCACATTTGTGCAAACGCGTATCCAGACAGTAGCAAATGTCTTTTCATGATTGATGAGGATCCTGGACTATTGATCAATATCTAGACCATGGATTCTATTTCTGCTCATAAATTATTTGGCATTGCTGTTGCATGCTCAAAGCACAAAAACCTTCCTGCATTATGCTAACTGTGGCTGTTCAGATTTGCCTGCGAGTCGTTCTTTCTTGTTCTTGGTCTGGCCCAGTTGGAAATTCATGGCAACCTTCTATTTTCCTCTCTCCTCCTCCCTATTGATGTATATTTTTGTTTCTAAATTTTTAGTTAATGACAATGGCATTGCAGGGGATTTCCAAGACAACATAAACATTCGAGTGTGGAGCGCAGCTATATATAGCATACATTCTTGTTTGTGCTTCAACTGAAGGATATGGGTAGTTTTCCTGTATAACTTGTTTGCTGATTTTGCAGCCAAATTATGAAACGAGTATAAATACTTGTGGAAGTACCATCTGGATGGTACCAAATAGGCTTTCCATGGTATTTCTCTGGATTGGGTCTGTGAATTGCTCGCATGTGAAGCGGATAGTCATGGTATATGAGAGATCTTGGTAAGGCATATTCACTGGAAAACTTTATTTTTTATTTTTTATTTTTTTTATTTTTATATAAACATCAATCTTGCTCAGAGTGGAAAAGTGGACCAAATTACTTTAAGTTATGAATTTCCCGTGGTGAATTTATACGACGACGGCACCTTTTTATTTAGAAGTGCCTTGAAAGAGAAGTGTTTTATTTGACATTTTAAACAAGTGTTAAAAGAGTTTTCCAGTGAGTAAACTTCTCTTACTGGAAAGCCTAAGAAAGATGCTTCCTGTGTTTTTGTTACCTTGGCTTACGGCCAGCACGCTGAAAGCCACAATTTAACTTTTATTTTAATTTGACTTTTAACATATGTTTGTTTCTTGCGTGCTACGTTAAATATAGTTTTGTGCAAAGACTTGATGAAACCCTCCGGTGAGTGCAAGGTGCAGCTCATGCTTAGATCAAATTACGATTGGGAACACAGTCTAAATTTAATTTGTGCAGTGTGACAGTACTCCTTGAGTCGTTGTTGCGATCTTCAAGACCAAGATTTAAGCAAAGCTATGGCAGGTTAGCTCCTGAGAGGCCGGTCCCCGTTTATTTTACCGATTCGAGTTTAAAATTTGAGTTTTGCTATAATAAAAAATTCTCAGAAACAATCACATCTAACTTTTTTACTACAATAAAAAGCTCACATAAAGTCGCATCTTAACTCAAATTAAAAACTCAAATTAACGAACTAAACGAGCCTGTAGAGAGCTAAAGTTGAGCAGAAGCAGAAGAAGTTATAGGAGTTTGTACGACCATGAGCCCATTTTGAAAGATCTGGGTGTAAGTTCAATAAATATTACTCTGGCTGGAGCAGTGCTGCAGTTGACACTAACCTTCCCAACCTCTTTGTTTGTTATCTCTTTTGTGCAACTTTTTTCAGTTTTTTTTTTTCTTAATTGCCTTTAAACTGAAAAGGCTTCTTTTATCTTTCATGTTTTCTAATAGTGTTTGTATACAATAATATACTGTATAGGTAATTCTCAATAGGTAAATGAATAACGTCATCAACAGGAAATGTATGAAAAATAAATGCTCAACTCCACCAATGGTGGTGCCATAGAGGCAAATATACCATGGCTTTATACTCTCGCTCACCCTTTAGAGGCTCCATTTTTTGTGTCCGCACTAAGTCCCATGCAATTGTGAGATTGTGTAACGTGCATGATTTCTAGGGATTGTTGATGAGAGCGCAGACTACTATACTTTTTATTTTATCCACGGTTTGAGTAGATTCCGATAGTGGCATTGTGTTAGGGTGTGAACCTCTAATATTCTTCTTCTTCTTCTTCTTTTTTTCTTCAATAGAGAAAAATTATAAGTGCATTTGGAATTGATTTTTGTTTGTTTTTGAAAACTTTTTTTCACATCTTTAGAGGCATGAAAATAAAAACGGTCTGCAAATCGTATTTATTTAGTAAATATTTTGAAAACAAAAAACAGTTGGCCCGTTTGGTAACATTTTTAAAATGGTTTTGTTTTCAGTACAAAAGTGAAAATGAAATTGTTTTAAAAATGATACTGAGATTGATTCTGAAATTATGCTTGGTTAGTTTTTAAAAGATAATTTTCAGTTTAAAAAAAAGTGAAATCGTGTTTGGTTAAATTATGAAATCTTATTTTGAGTACATGTAATTAATAATCTTAAATTAATACATTAAGTAAGATAAAGTCTCTAATCTGGTACCAGATTAGAGTGGCACATGTATATTTCTTTTAAAAACATATATATTTTCCTCTTAAAACATGTATATTTCCTCTTAAAACATGTATATTTCCTCTTAAAATATATATATTTTCTCTTAAAATATGTATATAGGTATTTAGACAAATTATATGTCTCTCCATATTATAATGTTTTAAGAGGAAATATACATGTTTTAAGAGAAAATATACACGTTCTTAAAGAAAATATACATGTGCAGCTTTAATCCAGTGCCAGATTGGAGACAATTCCTATTAAGTAATTAATAATATATTAGTAATATAATAATAATAGATATATTATTATTAGTAAGCACATTAGTAATTAAATTATATATATAATAAATAAATATGCTAAATGATTAAAAATTAGTAATTAACAATAATAACTAAGTAATTACTATGTTAGTAAGGTACTAATAATTATTAGTTTAAAAGTAATTAATTAGTGTATTAGTAAAAAATAATTGGTAAATTAAAAATTTATTAGTATTCTATTTTATAATTAAATAATTAACTTTTAATTACATAATTAAATAATTAGTTAATTAAGTACTTATGTTTATCTAATAACCTACTATTTGATATATCACATCATTAGTTGTTAGTAACTATTCTTTAAATAATTATTATTTTATTATCTATTAATTATTATTGATTAAAATATTACACAATTAAGAATCATAATTTGATATAAATTATTAATTGAGTAATTATTATTTATGTTATATGATTGATATATTACTTATTAATTATTTATTTAATAACTTATTATTAAGTATTAATTCTTAATATATCATAACCAATGTTTTGCAATTAATCTTTAACTAAATGGTTAATTACTATTTACTATTTATTATTTATTTTAATTAGCAAATTAAAATTTTAATAATAATAAATTAATATTTAACTAATAATTAAGTAATTATTATCTATTGATTAATTAGTAATTAATGTATAATGTAATTGGTAATTAATAATTAATTATTAAATATAACATTGTTGATAAGTATTAGAAAATGAAAATGGAAAAGGAAAAAGAACTTTCAATCGTTATTTAGTTTCTTCACAAAAACCATTCTAATTGTTTTTTGTTTTTCAAAACATTTGCTAAACAACCGTTTTCATTTTTGTGCCTTAAAAGATGTGTAGATATGTTTTAAAAAACAACCAAAAACTAATTCTAAACGCATCCATATAGTTTTAACTGGAAGCAAAAAGATTAAATATGCAATTATTTTGTCTTTACTTTATATCAATCAGTTTGGCTTACCTATGTTTGTAGAGAACCCCTACTGATCATTGTTTATAAGATTAGTGTCACTTTTTCTGTCATTCTTTGTCACTTTATGCATTCACTATTTAACGCTAGAATTTCTGTAGTTCGTAATTGGCATGCCTTGTGAATGTGATAATTCTATAGTACGTTTTTTTTTTTGTTTTTTTATTATTATTACTAGTTGTAAGCATGTGTTCCGCATGTGCATTCCTTACATTTTTCTTTGATATGAAAATCTAAAATTTCTCCTCACATACTTATTCATTCCTCTCCTAATAATTGAGTTTAGTTAAAAGAAAAGGAAAAAAAGTTTAGTAGAGCATATATAAAATGAAAAAAAAAGTAATAAATTATTTAATGAGTACATATAAAAAAAATTGAGAAGGTTGTATGATGAAAATGTTTAGGTAAGAATACATTTAAGAAAAAACTTCTTTAAACATAGCAATTAGGGAGAAATAATTACAAGAGTTACTTTAAAAAATGACTAAAAGAAAAAATGTCTCCGCAATCGCACATTTGAAAAAAATTTATTTTAACAAGAGTATTTTATGCAAAAGAAAAAAAAAAAGAAAAACTAAAAAAAGTAGTAAAAAAGTTGAGGAGGGAAAAAAGGACCAAACAACGTCAAGGACTAAAAATTAAAGAAAAATAAGGGAAAAAAGAAAAAAAAAAAAAAAGGGAAGATCCGTTGGATAAAGAATTATTGTTATATATATGTTGAAGATTAATTATCAGGGTACATAAAAAAATATATTCCAGATGCTTTCTAAAAAAAAAGTTTAGGCATATGAGAAGAAATTATTTGAACTAGATAAATAAGGAAAAAAATATTTACAAGAATCACATTGGAAAAAGGGAAAAATAATAATGTATAGCGGTGAAAATAATAAGATTAAATAAGGAGGAGAGAAAAAAAAAAAATAAGGGACTAAAGAAGTAAAGAAGAAAAGAACGGGAACTGAAAGAATGAAAGAAGAGAAAATAAATTAGGAACGTAAAAAAATGTT